TTGTCCAATTTTGTCTTCGAAGTTGCTTATATTTTATGTTTTTTTTGTGGACGTTGGTGCCTATGAAAAACGAGAAAATATTTTTAAAGTTTTCCATTTAATTCAATTTTATAAGTTTTTTTTTCATTTCTTCCCCATTAGAGTTGTTTTGTGATGCAGATTTTAAGCTTTTTTAAACACCAAAACATCAGCAAATTACTTTAATTTCATGATTGATTCGGAAAACTTGTTTTTCATCTACCGCGAGAACCTTTCCACTCATATGAAATGATCTCTATGAAACTTTTGTTTCGTGGTAAGACTTTGTGTTCAGATGAACCAAAGTGTTCAAAAGACCTCTCACACTTTGACACAAAAATAATTTCCGATAAGATATAATTCGAATAATGGAAAATTTCGGCAAAATAAAAAATTATAATTGATTTTAAGGGTTTCTAGTAAGAAATATAATCAATTATAATCGATTATAAGAGATTATAATCTCTTGGAAAATATCACGATTATAATCAATTATAAATCCCTTAAAGGCCTAATTTTGGTAATTATAAACGATTATAATTGCCAAAAAATCATCATAATAATCTGTTATAATCGATTATTTACTACTAAACTTGGATGCGGGATGTTACAATAGGTGGTAATTTTAACTACAGTGCATGTATTTAATTTGAGAACTGTAATGAATAATATAATCATTTCATTTTCAATCAATTGTACATGCGGCTAAGATTGTTTTTGCAAATACATTACTCTGCGAGATAAAGTGCTATTGAAAAACTCAAATTTTACACTCTTGCATAAAAAAATTGGCTTTTAAAATAAATTGTATATACTGTGCGAAGTATAGCAAAAAATGATCCAGCTATTTAAGTTAAAATTACCACCCACTGTAATATATCACCCTTTGCCCTATTATTCAAACCTGTTCAAACCTAATCTCAGTATGTCGGAAAGAAGCTTGAGTCGTAAACTGACAATCGTCGGCCCTTCCAACCAAAGGCTTCAATACTTTCGCTTCTTTTTTGGTGCCTTTTTTGACAGTTTAACTTTACTAAATGACGCTAAAATGTTTTGACTTTTTTTTACAGAAATAAGCAAAATTGCCTGAAGGCAAAAAACCCTAGCTAACAAATAAGCATCTTTCTGAAACCTGCTTTTTCACCGGGCTTTTTCACCGGATAGCCAATAAACTTTTCCGGACTTTATTAAGTCTTATGACAATCTAATACGAACAAAGTAAGATAAAAATAAACCGCTTCAAGCTGTAACTAGACTTTACTAGGAATAAAATTATTGTAAATAAAAAAGAGTTATAAAAACGTTACGAGCGCACATCATCATCATTCTATTTTTTACAAGAATTTGTTTCTTTTTTTCTGATCTTTGCTGATTTTATTTTGAAAATGTCACTTAAACAGTCTCAAGACGATGAAAAAAAATTAGAAGTGGTTAAAACATAGAACAATCAAATCTTATTCTTTGGCGAGTGCGTTTTACATGAAATTGATGCCAAAATTTTGAGATTAAAGTCACTTAAGTCTAAAAACAACAAAAGCACAAAAGTATTTTTATCAACGTTATTCTAAACCTCTGAAAATTTCCTACTTTTGTTCTGCTTTAACAGCTATGGACGTTTTCCGAGCCATGGACATTTTAAAACGGCAAAATCCAGCAAAAATATTCAACAAAGTGTGGATATTTGCAGCTTTGGTGAGTACTTAGCAACTTCACATATTTGATGGTTGGCTTTTTACCCGGGTCAAATACCGCGACTAAGAAGCTATTGCAGTAACAAAATAGCGCAACTAGAGGGGAATGGTGGCGCCTTTCTCAGTAAAAATGGCGGAACGTTCGAAGCCCAACATTACCCGTGGTCGTTGCTTGATGGTGAGGCAACATTACACAGCCCTGATAAATAGCCAAAAAACTGTCTGAAATTCTTTGCCGCAACCCAGAAAAACAGTAGCGGTCGGAGTGACAGAACAAAACTCTTTGCGACAGACGAGGCTCAAACACCGTCCCGACCAACGCAACAAGAATTGCCAAGTCTAGACCAAACCGTCTATAAAAAAATAACGTGTGAACAGCCGTGTTTATTTTTTGACTTGGTCGATTAACATTATTCATTGCAGCTTTCAAAGTCGTTTTTTAATGTGGCGGACCTCTACCCAGATCTTAGACACATCCGCATTTGAACAGGTTTTCTTTTTTTGAACCGTCTTGTCGTCCAAAACTTCTGTAATAAATTTCTCAATGTTCAAGTTCGAAATTTTATAACTATTTCATTGAAAATTTTTTAACAAAGTTGTTCACGAGGCAGCAACTCACATATCTTTCTCCATTATTCTTTTTATCAAAATCACCATTTTTTAAAAAAATGTTACAGGTCTCTCTACATGAGTTCAAAATTTTGGAAATTTTAGACGGACTCATATCTTTTGAAACATTTTTTGAACCACTTTTTTATCATTTGAATCTTACTACTTCAGACCAAGTGAGCCTTTTGATATATACAGGCTACTTTAATACTTGTGGATCTGCAGCTACCCTCCCGCCCGCTGATCAGGTCTAATCATCTATTATCATCTTTACATGTATTTTAAACGCCCATCGCCGCCTCCATGGCAAAGAGTGCTAAAGGTTCTTACAAATAAACTCTGGGTTTAGAAAACAAGGTTAAGATTCTTGCCAAGTTAGGAGGTTTCTTGTCTTCGTTTGCAGATCCACACAATAACGGCGTCTTCTAGTGGGGTAGACTTGACCATGGAGCCCAATGCAACCGGATGTGAAGTGGCAAAAGCAACGGTGCGTTTGATCAATGACTACTACAAAGCTGGCGGATCCCTCTTGAAATATGAGTGAGTCAGTTTAACTGTTAAACCGATAATTGAACAATTCTCAACCCATTTTAGCGGCGTGATTTGAGATAATTCGAATTGATTATTCTGAACTCTTATAAAATTTGATTTTCGAACGCTAAATTTATTGACTGCTTCTTTGCAATTGACGCAATTAAGTTCTTCTAAATAAAAATTCATTTGTGTCTTATGTGTCCAAATAAAGACCACAACCAAAGTGGGAACAGGAACTGAAGAATCGATTTTTTTTACGCCTCAAACAGGCGCGGATCAAGGAACTTCTCGAGGGGGGGGGGGGGGGGGGGGGGAGGATTTTCAAAAAAAATTTTGAAAATTTTGTCGAGCTTTTTTTAGGTCGACCAAATTGATTTTCTGAACTCTCCCAAACCACTCTAGAGACCCTGTTTCAGCCAAAATTTCTTCGCCGCAGGCAAATTTTTGAAAAACAGGCCAAAAATAGCGTTTTTAGGAACTTTTTGAAAAATTTCGAGCAAAAAAATAGCGTTTTTTTGGCGCGCGCTCCCCCCGCAAAATTAGTGTAGATTGGCGCCTTTAAAAAACTCTTAAGGTCAGTTAGCCAAAAATGGATATCTCATAATTGTACAAAGGGGGGACACTTTGGGTCGGCAGGGGTCGAATTCCTGAGGGAGGGAGCGTCCGCCCCCGCCCACCCTTAAATCCGCTACTGACCTCAAATAAACGACCTCACATGGGTCTTCTCAATGTTATGATTTTTCTCAATGTCAAGAATTTTATCAGTGTCGAGTATTTTTTCAGTGACGAGAAAGTTTGTGTAAGCCAATTGAAATACAGCTAAGGAAAAAAACAAATTTTCTAGCAACATTTTCATCGTTAAGATTTTTTCTACAGTCACAATTTCAAACTAATAAAACACCCCCCCCCAAAAAAAAGGAATAAAAGTTTTAAAACCATGAACTTGCTCGAACTAACTACTTGTTTTGATACTGCTAACTTGAACAATAGTAAATTCGCACCGCCTCCACCATATACGCAAAGATCGTGAGGAACTGCTTCTTAGTCGCGCCTTCTCATCATTGGTCTGTGAAGTCGCGCCGTCTCCACTCTGGTCTCGAATAAGATATAATTCGAATAATGGAAAATTTCGGCAAAATAAAAAATTATAATTGATTTTAAGGGTTTCTAGTAAGAAATATAATCAATTATAATCGATTATAAGAGATTATAATCTCTTGGAAAATATCACGATTATAATCAATTATAAATCCCTTAAAGGCCTAATTTTGGTAATTATAAACGATTATAATTGCCAAAAAATCATCATAATAATCTGTTATAATCGATTATTTACTACTAAACTTGGATGCGGGATGTTACAATAGGTGGTAATTTTAACTACAGTGCATGTATTTAATTTGAGAACTGTAATGAATAATATAATCATTTCATTTTCAATCAATTGTACATGCGGCTAAGATTGTTTTTGCAAATACATTACTCTGCGAGATAAAGTGCTATTGAAAAACTCAAATTTTACACTCTTGCATAAAAAAATTGGCTTTTAAAATAAATTGTATATACTGTGCGAAGTATAGCAAAAAATGATCCAGCTATTTAAGTTAAAATTACCACCCACTGTAATATATCACCCTTTGCCCTATTATTCAAACCTGTTCAAACCTAATCTCAGTATGTCGGAAAGAAGCTTGAGTCGTAAACTGACAATCGTCGGCCCTTCCAACCAAAGGCTTCAATACTTTCGCTTCTTTTTTGGTGCCTTTTTTGACAATTTAACTTTACTAAATGACGCTAAAATGTTTTGACTTTTTTTTACAGAAATAAGCAAAATTGCCTGAAGGCAAAAAACCCTAGCTAACAAATAAGCATCTTTCTGAAACCTGCTTTTTCACCGGGCTTTTTCACCGGATAGCCAATAAACTTTTCCGGACTTTATTAAGTCTTATGACAATCTAATACGAACAAAGTAAGATAAAAATAAACCGCTTCAAGCTGTAACTAGACTTTACTAGGAATAAAATTATTGTAAATAAAAAAGAGTTATAAAAACGTTACGAGCGCACATCATCATCATTCTATTTTTTACAAGAATTTGTTTCTTTTTTTCTGATCTTTGCTGATTTTATTTTGAAAATGTCACTTAAACAGTCTCAAGACGATGAAAAAAAATTAGAAGTGGTTAAAACATAGAACAATCAAATCTTATTCTTTGGCGAGTGCGTTTTACATGAAATTGATGCCAAAATTTTGAGATTAAAGTCACTTAAGTCTAAAAACAACAAAAGCACAAAAGTATTTTTATCAACGTTATTCTAAACCTCTGAAAATTTCCTACTTTTGTTCTGCTTTAACAGCTATGGACGTTTTCCGAGCCATGGACATTTTAAAACGGCAAAATCCAGCAAAAATATTCAACAAAGTGTGGATATTTGCAGCTTTGGTGAGTACTTAGCAACTTCACATATTTGATGGTTGGCTTTTTACCCGGGTCAAATACCGCGACTAAGAAGCTATTGCAGTAACAAAATAGCGCAACTAGAGGGGAATGGTGGCGCCTTTCTCAGTAAAAATGGCGGAACGTTCGAAGCCCAACATTACCCGTGGTCGTTGCTTGATGGTGAGGCAACATTACACAGCCCTGATAAATAGCCAAAAAACTGTCTGAAATTCTTTGCCGCAACCCAGAAAAACAGTAGCGGTCGGAGTGACAGAACAAAACTCTTTGCGACAGACGAGGCTCAAACACCGTCCCGACCAACGCAACAAGAATTGCCAAGTCTAGACCAAACCGTCTATAAAAAAATAACGTGTGAACAGCCGTGTTTATTTTTTGACTTGGTCGATTAACATTATTCATTGCAGCTTTCAAAGTCGTTTTTTAATGTGGCGGACCTCTACCCAGATCTTAGACACATCCGCATTTGAACAGGTTTTCTTTTTTTGAACCGTCTTGTCGTCCAAAACTTCTGTAATAAATTTCTCAATGTTCAAGTTCGAAATTTTATAACTATTTCATTGAAAATTTTTTAACAAAGTTGTTCACGAGGCAGCAACTCACATATCTTTCTCCATTATTCTTTTTATCAAAATCACCATTTTTTAAAAAAATGTTACAGGTCTCTCTACATGAGTTCAAAATTTTGGAAATTTTAGACGGACTCATATCTTTTGAAACATTTTTTGAACCACTTTTTTATCATTTGAATCTTACTACTTCAGACCAAGTGAGCCTTTTGATATATACAGGCTACTTTAATACTTGTGGATCTGCAGCTACCCTCCCGCCCGCTGATCAGGTCTAATCATCTATTATCATCTTTACATGTATTTTAAACGCCCATCGCCGCCTCCATGGCAAAGAGTGCTAAAGGTTCTTACAAATAAACTCTGGGTTTAGAAAACAAGGTTAAGATTCTTGCCAAGTTAGGAGGTTTCTTGTCTTCGTTTGCAGATCCACACAATAACGGCGTCTTCTAGTGGGGTAGACTTGACCATGGAGCCCAATGCAACCGGATGTGAAGTGGCAAAAGCAACGGTGCGTTTGATCAATGACTACTACAAAGCTGGCGGATCCCTCTTGAAATATGAGTGAGTCAGTTTAACTGTTAAACCGATAATTGAACAATTCTCAACCCATTTTAGCGGCGTGATTTGAGATAATTCGAATTGATTATTCTGAACTCTTATAAAATTTGATTTTCGAACGCTAAATTTATTGACTGCTTCTTTGCAATTGACGCAATTAAGTTCTTCTAAATAAAAATTCATTTGTGTCTTATGTGTCCAAATAAAGACCACAACCAAAGTGGGAACAGGAACTGAAGAATCGATTTTTTTTACGCCTCAAACAGGCGCGGATCAAGGAACTTCTCGAGGGGGGGGGGGGGAGGATTTTCAAAAAAAATTTTGAAAATTTTGTCGAGCTTTTTTTAGGTCGACCAAATTGATTTTCTGAACTCTCCCAAACCACTCTAGAGACCCTGTTTCAGCCAAAATTTCTTCGCCGCAGGCAAATTTTTGAAAAACAGGCCAAAAATAGCGTTTTTAGGAACTTTTTGAAAAATTTCGAGCAAAAAAATAGCGTTTTTTTGGCGCGCGCTCCCCCCGCAAAATTAGTGTAGATTGGCGCCTTTAAAAAACTCTTAAGGTCAGTTAGCCAAAAATGGATATCTCATAATTGTACAAAGGGGGGACACTTTGGGTCGGCAGGGGTCGAATTCCTGAGGGAGGGAGCGTCCGCCCCCGCCCACCCTTAAATCCGCTACTGACCTCAAATAAACGACCTCACATGGGTCTTCTCAATGTTATGATTTTTCTCAATGTCAAGAATTTTATCAGTGTCGAGTATTTTTTCAGTGACGAGAAAGTTTGTGTAAGCCAATTGAAATACAGCTAAGGAAAAAAACAAATTTTCTAGCAACATTTTCATCGTTAAGATTTTTTCTACAGTCACAATTTCAAACTAATAAAACACCCCCCCCCCAAAAAAAGGAATAAAAGTTTTAAAACCATGAACTTGCTCGAACTAACTACTTGTTTTGATACTGCTAACTTGAACAATAGTAAATTCGCACCGCCTCCACCATATACGCAAAGATCGTGAGGAACTGCTTCTTAGTCGCGCCTTCTCATCATTGGTCTGTGAAGTCGCGCCGTCTCCACTCTGGTCTCAAAAGTCGCCCTATATTAACTTCGGTTGCTAGAGAAGCGATAAAGGTTTCTGGATCGCGCCGTCTCAGCCTTGGTCTGAAAATTCGCCCTATATCGACAGCGGTTGCTAGAAAAGCGATGAAAATTTCTCGATCGCGCGGTCTCAGCCTTGGTCGGAAAGTAGCACAGTCTCCGCCTTAATCGGGAAAGTCTCGCTTTTTCCATCTCGGTCGCGAAGTCGAATCGTCCACAATTTAATCGGTAAAATTGCGTTCGTATCCATCTCCGTCGCAAAGTTTGTGGAAGATTGCTTCCTGGTTGAGCTAATTACGCCTTGTTCTGGAATTTTGCACTGTATCCTCCTTTGTCTGGAAGGTCGCGCCGCATCCGCCTTGGTCTGGAAAATCTCGATGTCTCTACTTCAGTCGCAAAGGTCGCGAGGAATTGTTTCTTAACCTCCGTCTCCGCCTTTTTGTGGAACGTCGCGCAGTCTCTGCCTTGATCAGGATTGTCTCGCCATCTCCTCTCGGTGGCAAAAATCGAGTCGTACCCACCTTGCTTGCGAAAATTGCGACGTAACCACCGCGATCACGAAAAACACGGTACAATTTATCTGGGACGCGCAGTCTCCACTTTGGTCTCGACGATTGCACCGTCCGTCTGCACCTTGTTTGCGAAAGTCGCTCCGTCTCCATCTCGGTCGCGAGGGTCGCGAGGAGTTGTTCCTTGGTCGCGCCGTTTCTTCCTTGATCTGGAAAGTCTCGCCGTCTCCGCCTTCATCTGGAAGCTCCCGCCATCTCCACCCTCGTCTGGAAAGTCTCTACACATCCACCTCCATCGGAAAGGTCACTGGAAACCTTTTCTTGGTCGCGACATCTCCGCCATGATCTCAAAACTTGTCCCATTTATAACTCGGTCGCAAAAAAAACAATTCAACTTTTTTTGCGCCATCTTTACAGTGGTGCTCTGAATATTTGCGCCGTCTCCTCACTGGTTAAAAAATTTGAACCGTTTCCACTTTGGTTGCAAATATCTGGAGTAATTGCTTTTTAGTCGCGCCGTCATCGCCTTTTTGTTGAAAGTTGCACCGTTTCCGGCTAATTCGCAAAAGTCACACTGTCTCCACTTTGATCCGGAAAGTTGCGCCGTCTTTACCTCGGTCACAAAATTTGCAAGGAATTGTTGCTTGGTCATGACGTTTTGGCCTTGATCTGAAAATTTGCGCCGTCTCCGCCTTGGTGTGGAAGTTACCGCCATTTGCAACCTCTTCTAGAAAGTCGCATCTTGTCCACCTCTGATACAAAAGTCACAAGGAACTTTTTTATGATCACGCCATGTCTGCCTCGGTGTAAAAGGTCGCGCAGTTTCCACCCTGGTCTCAAAAGTTGGGTCGCATCCACCTCGCTTGCGAAAAAAGCAATAAAAGTTTTCTGATTCGCTCAATATACGATAATTGTTTTCTGGATCTCGCCTTTTTGCCTTAATATCGAAATGGAAGGTCGCTCCGTTTAGCCTTGCCATGGAAAATGTCACAATCTCCGTCTCCTTGGCGAAAATTCCACCGTCCCTCCTTACCTTGTTTACATAATTTTGACGGTTCCACCTCGGTTGCAAGGGTTGCGAAGGTATGTTATTTAGTCGCGTCGTGTCGGCCTTGGTCTGAAATGTTGCGCCGAACCCTGGTCCTTGAAAAAAGTCCCCGTATCCACCTCGGATGCAAAGGTCGCGAGAAAATTTTTCTTGGTCACACTGTCTCTGTCTGTAAAATTGCGCCGTCTCCACCCGGATCTGAAAAGTTGTTGCCTCGACTTCGGTCCTAAAACACCGTTAAAAATTTCTTGTTTCGATTGTCTGTACCTTGGCCAGGAAGTTTGCGCTGTTTCTGAATTGGTTATGAAAGTATCGCCGTATCCACCTCGGTCACTCACGGAGAAATGCTTTCTGTTTTTTGCCGTCTCTGCCTTGGTATGGAATGTCACGCCATCTGAGCCTTTTTTCGAAATGTCACGCCGTTTCCGCCCTGGTCGGAAAAGTTTCACCGGCTCAATCTCGGTTGCGAACGTCACGCCGTTCCCACCTTGGGCGGGAAAATTGCGCAGCCTCCATTTCGACCGCAAAGGTCGCGAGGATTTGTTTCTTGGTCGCGCTGTGTCCGCCTTATTCTGGAAGGTTGCGTCTTCTCCGACTTGGTCGCGAGAGTCACGATGTCTCAGCCTCGATCCCATAATTCTTCCCGGCCTTGGTCTTAAAAGTTGTGCCGTCTCCGCCTTGGTCTGGAAGTTCACTTCATATCCAATAAGTCTGGAAAGTTGCGCAGTCTTCGTTTTTACCGTGTAGTATAGCCATCTCTATCTCAGTCGCGAAAATCGCGCCTTCCAACTTGGTTGCGAAAGTCGCGCTGTCTCCACCTCAGTCGAGGGAGTTGGCAGTTTAACCGATAAAGAGGCGCTCACGTCCAATAATTTTCGTCTCGGACAACCTCGCACAAATTTTCCGGCTCTGCTTGCTGACGAAAGTTCTGACTTATAACAAAAGTATATCCGTGGAGTTTCGTACGCAAACGCTATGTGGGAATGTTGGCTGAGGGCGTATGTCCCCTCAGTCAACAAGCGCAAAAAGTGGCACACTCCGTCTGAGCGTGAGCTTAAGAGCGGTGATATTGTTTGGGTACTTGAGTGAAACATCTCAATGTTCTATTTCCCCCTCGTTTCACTACGGCAAAAAAAAACGTCCCCCATTCCGCCGCTCTACGCTCTTCGTCCGGCGAACTTACCCCTCCGATCACTAAGCTTGTTTTGTTCCTTCTCCTTTCTCTTTCTGGGGCCAGAGGTTGTTTACGCTAAAAGTAAGGCACGTAAGCACGCGAGTATAAGAAATCACTAATTCCCACCTATATTTTTTCTGACAACAGGCTTTTTAGTCATCAAACGAGATTTGATAAAAAGGCAAGCCCATATTGAAAATGGAGTTTTTGCTACAGTTCTTAATTAATCAGTCTCGGTGTTTCAACTTGAGCTCCATTGTGCTGATTGCATCTGCTGGCCCTTTTCGTATAGCTGGCTCTTCCGAGTGATCAATTTTTGTTTATTGTCTGCAATTGAACGAGGATAGCTGGTTACTTTTCACTCGAGGACAAAATACGTATGTGTTTATGATTTGCCAGATACTCTGGCCATTTTGCATACCACGCTGCAGTATGTTGATGGTATATCTCTGCTAAAGATCCATCTAATATTGAAATGAATAATATGTTGAAAACAAGAAATCCAGCAAGTAGCACGGAATAGTCCGAACGCAACCTTAAAAAAATAGTTTTTAAAGCAATCGCATTTTTTTCCTGCTTGTTGTGATAACAGAATTTAGGCATATTCGACAGTAATTGTAATAATGGCCAATTGGAATCAGATTTTAGAGAAAAATGACTGGAAAACAAAAAAAAATCGTAAGAAAAAATTTAGAGCTTCAAGTATTTTTAAATAGTTTTCTTTGCGAAAACTTTGAAATTTTGAATTTTTTGATTGGCATAATGGTGCTAAGAACTCTACACACTATAATTGATTGAAACGTTAAAAGATATCCAATATGATAATAGCAGGGTCAGAAAATCTGAAGAAGTTGAGATTTTTGGCAGTATCATTGGTCGAAATTAGTAGTGTTTCAAAAAGAAAAGAACATTTTTCAACCGAAAGTGGCGAGTATAAAAAGATAGGTAAAACACTGAACACATGGGATCTGAACCGCATCACAAAATGCCGTGGGAACAATCTTGAGACGCTTTTTTTGGAGTTTTACGAGGAAGGTGAAAAACCAGAAAAAAACGGCAACAGTTATTTCTGATTTTGTCAGCCTATCATTCATAGTTTATCCAACATCTAATACACCAAATTATCCAAAACCATTAAAAGGGAAGTTGGAACACTCAGGGCTATCACTGATTCGAGCAGTCTTATTTTTTTATTCTGTCAATTTCCGGCGATCGAAACAAAAATTTGCCATTGGGTGCGCTTTAAGCGAGCTCTGAAAAAATTATACATAATGTTAAGAGCGTAACGCGAATTATTCATGCGGGGCACAACATTAGTCGTGGCGCAACATTTATAACGCGCAACAAACTAGTTCTAAAACGACTTAGCTTAGGTAATCGGTCGTATTATTTTGTACGACTCAAGTTTTTGCACTAGTTTCCCAAAAACACTTCGTTATGGATTACGGGGCACTTAGAACATTCAGGGCTTTGACCTGATATACCAATAGTCTTGTTTATAATTAGCAAAAAATTGGATAGACCAAAAAGCACGCCTCGAGCCAATTTGGAACGGGATTAAATCTTTGTTCGCGCGTAATAACACAAACTATTGCGCGCGTCAATTGTCCCCCATTGATTGAAATGGCCTTCATTAAACCCCCATATTTTTACGAAAAATGATCACGGATGATATATGTTTTTTTGAAAATAATTGTGCTCAGATTAATAGCAATTTTCAAAAAATATTAAAAAAATTCTGTCAAAAATTGTTAAAAATCGAATTTTGTCTGGAGAAAAAACCACCCGAGCACAAATATTCCGTCACTCTCCTCAAAAGTTGGATCATAAAAATGTAGCGCTAGCTCCCAAAAATGAATTCAAGAAATTAAAATGAAGATCAGTCAAAACCGGGCAAGTCCTCACAACTATCCTCAAGCAGTTCATAAAACCTTCATTACTGGGCGCCATACTGGTGCTCAACTAAATACCAATTCAACTCCTGGTTTTTCGAGGAGATGGTCAAAGAGGAATTTATCGCCAGAAATATTGAATATTGATAATCAGGCCTCGAAGAAATTAAATATTGAAAATGAATCAGAAGCGCTCAATATAGAAAAAACTGTTACAGAGGACGTTAGCAAATAAATTCAATCAACTTGACTGAAGTTCTATTTTTTTTGAAATGGAGAGAAATGTAGAAGAACGTCATATGGGCGACTTAAAAGACAGTTTTTTGTATTTTTTGAATATAAGGTCCCTGAGATGCCATCACGACTAACTCGTTATAGATATTAATCAGTTAGAACAAAAACCTTTGATTATTGCGCTATGCGAAACCTGGCTGTGTGATAAGGATTATCTGAATCTCTATCATCTTGATGGCTACCATCCCTTAATTTCTAAACACCGGAAATATCAGCGAGGCGGGGGATGTGCGTTTTATGTGCGCGATGATGTGAATTTTCAGTTAAACAATATAGAGGTTAATTTCGAATGCATCAACATATCTATCGTATAAAAATCAGTCAAAACTAAAATTTCGGTTGTCTATAAACCCCCACAGAGCAAAAATGAGGTTTTTTTGAATCACTTTGAGAATTACCTTCTGCACTTAAATGCTTTGAAAACTAATTTTCTTGTTTGTGGAGATTTTAATATCGAACTTTAGATTGCAAGCCAATTTCCAATTCTTATATTAATCTAAACTTTAGATTGCAAGCCAATTTCCAATTCTTATATTTATCTAATCAAGAGCTGTGGTGCGCATATTTTGAATAGAGATCCAACTCGCATTACTCCAACATCGAGTAAATGTATTGATCATTTAATTGCTAATTTTGACGCCAACGTAAAAACACTGGATTCAACTATTTCTGATCATTTTCCCGTAATTATATCTGGTTACGTAAATGTTGATCCGCAAGAAAATCAAGATTACTGCTATAGAAATCTTAAAAATCTTTACCGTGACGATTATTATATATATAAATATTTATTCCTCTTAGAAAACAAATTGTCAAAAAGCTTAGTGATCCCAATGAGAAATTATGTCTGTTAGTTGAATCCATAGTTTCATCAATTGATCGTTTTGCTCCCTTAGAAAAATCGAAATCACAAAAACAGTCATGGGTTACCGATTAAACCAAAAAAATACTCAAAAACCGCAATCGGCTTTTCAGTAAGTGGGTACAAAATCCTACTGAATCGAATAAACTGAAATATTCTCAAGCTAGAAATTTAGCAACCAAGTTAATAAGAAATGAAAAAAGAGTTTATTACGACAAAAAAAGTTGGAAATGGTAGAAATTCGAAAACGCTGTTCCAGGCCTTTAATGAATTTTGCAAAGGAAACTCCAAAAACACGAGTTTTTGGCTGCTGATGTTTTTAATGAATTTTTTGCCTCAATTGGCGAGAAACTGAGAAATTCTGAATTCGATTACAAAGAAGCGTTGGGTTATGTAGATCGCATCGAAAAATCAATGGTGTTTTTTGTAATTACCCACAAGGAAATTGAAAATGCCATATGCCATTTGTTGAAAAACAAAGGTTCAAATAATCATGATGGCATAAATAACAAAACTATAAAATTATCGCTGCCTTTAATTTCTGTAAGAATTTGCAGCCTTTTCAACCAATGCGTTAAGAGTGGTTATTTTCCTCAAGGCTTAAAAGATGCAAAAGTTATTCCCCTTTTTTAAGGGAGGTTTAAAAGATTCTTTGGAAAATTATAGACCTATTAGTTTACTCAGTTCACTCAGCAAAATTTTCGAAAGGATAATATTCAATAGAATGTATAATTTTGCTAATGAGCGGAAGATTCTTTATGAAAAACAATTTGAATTTCATAAGAAAAAGTCATGCGTGGACGCATTAATCGAATTCATCGCATTAGAGAGGGATGGGACAAAAAATTGGTTGGTCAATCATGCCTTGTTGATCTCAAAAAAGCATTTGATACCATAAATCATGATCTTCTTTTGGCAAAATTGGAAAAATACGGATTTAGAGGCCGGATTCTTTGTCTTCTAAACAATTACTTTACAAACCGATTTCAATTTTTTCAAACTGATAATAAAATATCTTCTAGTCGCTCTATGTCATGTGGAGTACCGCAAGGGTCAGTTTTAGGTCCGTTTTTGTTTTTAATATATATAAATGATCTTCCGAAAATTGCTAAAGGATCTGAGGTTGTTCTATTCGCTGATGATACTACAATATGCAATGCAGAAAAAAATTGTTGCGATAGTTTTGATAGCTCGTTAAGTAAAATGGATAGATGGTTCAAAACGAATGGACTTTGTGTCAATCCTGGTAAAACTCAAATAATGAAATTTGGTAACAACTTTTCAAAAGATTACTTTGCTTTTGGTACTACAGTTTAAATAACAAATGTGTGTAAATATTTATGCATTTTTGTTGATAAGAAACTTACTTTCAAATTTCACATTGAACATGTGTGCAAAAAATTAACTAAATTTTGTGGCATTGTCTGGAAAGTTAGGTATGTTTTTTGTAAACAGCAGATGCTTCGCTTCTACAAAGCATATGTAAATCCTACAATCACTTATGGAATTTTAATATACGGCAATACATCCCAATCTCACCTTACCGAGATGATGAAACTAGAAAAAAAAATCTTGAGAGCAATTTTTTTCAAACTTAGATATGAATCAATTAAGGAAATTATGGACGAAAATAAATTGCTTACTGTTTTCGATTTATACTTTTTTGAGATGTTTAAGTACTTGTTTATGGAATTGCAATCGGACAAAAAAATTGGTTTTCTGTCTCAGATTTACTCCCAAAAAAGTGGACCATGTACCAGGAGCAAAGCGAAAGGCGTAATTAAAGTGGCAACATTTTCTACTACCGCTAAACAGAGATCGCTTACAGTTAGAATTCTGCAGGCTTTTAACTATTTAAAACAAAATGACTTGATACCTGTTAATATACATGAAATGTCAGAAGTTAGTTGTTTGAGACTCTATAAACAGTTTTTTCAAACTTACCTAAAAGACAATCAGGACCTCTACAAACTGTTTTTTAATTTCAGCCCTTAATTTAATTTGTTTGTTGAGTTGATGCTGGCTGTCTTCTCTTTACTCTCCAGGATATCCTACTCGATGAGCAGTACTGCTCTTTAGGATCTCCCTCCAGGCATAATATATTGCTTTTGGCGTTGTATATGTAGCTGGTAAAGTAATTCAAATTTCAAATTTCAAAGTTCATCGGTTTCGATTGTGATATAAGTATGTAGCACGTTTCGCCCTTCTCAAACTTGATGGCATAATGTGTCATTCGTACGTTTCGCACCACAGTTGATAAGAAACATTATGAGTAAGATATTAGGTGCGTAACGCGGGTCGAGGGGCTAGACTTATGCTTCGACTCTGAAGGTCGATCAAGTGCAGTTTAGTGGCTGAAATTCCGGGTCGAGAAGCACTTTCGAAACAGTTAGCACAAAATCGAAACATACCCAATTTTGGTCTAGCAAATTGAAACTCAGGTCGAAAAAAAAACGATATATAAGTCGAGAAAGGCGAAACATACCCAATTTTGATCAAAAAACCCTAAACATAGGTCGAGAAAGTGGAAACATAGGTCGAGATAGTCAAAACGTACCCAATTTTGGTTGAGAAAATTGAACCCTAAGTCGAGCACTGCCGAAACATAAATCGAGCACAGTCGAAACATGCCCGATATCGGTCCAGAAAGTCAAAACATAGGTCGAGAAAGTTGAGACATAATTCGAGTACCTCGACCCGGGAATGTGCCATAGTTGTACTTGGCCCAAGAGTTGCCAAGCCTACAATAATCCCTTATTTCCAATAAGTATTTGAATGTGCGGTCGGATCATACGTAGTTCAACCAACTCAACCCGGGAGATTTGAATAATTATCATTGACACACTATTTTAGTCAGTTCTGTTTTAGTCAAATCAGTTCTTTTTTAGTCACAACTTCCTGCTATACAGAATAGCATACTTGTACGACTATGGACAGAACGGCAGTCTCCTACCAGAGAACGGAACCGGCATGTGGGGAATGACGATGCAACATTTTGATGCGGCTCGAAGCTGGGCTACCACTGCGGTATGAAATGACTCATTTCTGTTTGGTTTCAAAAGTCAGTGGCAAGTTTTTTTTTGGAAAAGTCTGGCAAAAAAAAATTGAACCCCCGTGACCCCCTCGGCATGCTATGGATCAGATCAATGGCGTGTGAACGATATTTTGACAAAGACGAGGCTGTATAAAAGGGCTTTATAAATGGGCTTGTAAAAAGCGAGTTTTGGATGGCTTTATCGAATTTTGCATTTTATCCAAGTAACAGCCGAGCCTGTAATAAGTTCACACTATGCCTCTAGGAAAATTAACAAAGTATTGGTCGAAAATAGAAAATTTAATGTCGTCTTAAGATATCACGAAGCTAAAGCATATTTCCGGCGGGAGAAATCGTGAGCTCTCAGGTGTCGAGTTAAATTAATTGTCGAGTTAAATTAATTTAGCGAGTACTAACTTTGTAAAGTAATTGATTTTCCTAGTTTACCTTGAACATAATATCATTTAATACTCATTTAACACATTTGTATTTCATTTCCAGCTCAACCGAGTTGTGGACCCAGACGGCTTTCACAGTCTTCCCGATGAAGATTTGTTCAAGCCTAGGATAGGGGCTCTTACTGCCTTCTTTCTCATCCAGGTAATTGTAAATATGCGGCCTGATTTGATTTATTTTTGTTCGGATCAGGTAAAATAAAGAGCCTACTAGATAAGAATCAATTCTAAGATATTTTTGGCTGAAACTTGAAAAATATTTTGACAGAGATGATCAAAATGGCAGATTTTGTCGACCGCTTGAAGACCCTTCAGTATGCACATGCGAACAATTTCATTTTAAATTTTGTTCCGTCTAAAATAGATTTGAGTTAGAGTTGGAATCGAACTAACAATGAGGCAAAATCATGTTGAGACAAAATTAAGGCGAAGCCGAGACCTGACGAGACCTGACGAGCCTTCTACTTTGAATTAGATCTAGTGACAGATATTACCAGCAGCGGAGATAACGCAGAAATAATTCAAAAATAAATAATACAGAAATATACAAAAATAATAAATCTAAAAACAGAAATTCGAAACGTTTTCGGGCTCTTTTTTCCTCTATGCAAAATTAAATTTTTGTTCAAATTGTCCAATTGGCTCGCGGTTTAAAATCAAACAAAAGAAACCAGTAGTTACTTCATTCATCATTTAGGAAAGTATAAATTTGCTAGAGTAAACTAGTGGGAGCCAATTGTTCGCCTCAAATCAAATTGTAGCAGTTTGTTCGCACATGCAATGTTTTAAACAACTTTGTTTACTTCGCGTGAAATTGATAATTATGTGAGGTGGGTAGAAAAATGAAAAATACTCTCTCGAAATCACTATTTAATTTGATAAAAATCATAAGACTTCATTTTTTCCAGCAGAATGTAACCAATATAATCGCAGGTTTCATTTTGTTTTCGCTTACAAAAAACAGTTTGGGAGGACGCCATTAGACTGCAAGAGACTTCTTTTGAACGCCTCAATTCAGAAAAAAGATAGATTGTTTTGCGCTCGCAATTTTTCTGTTTTTATACTTCTAAAAATCGAAAGAGAAACAACACTTTGATTTTCAATTTTAAGTAGGTGAGCCTCCCGTTTTCCAACAAATAATTTTCCATGATTGAAATGGTTAAGTTGTTCCGTCGTGGCTGTTCTGATAAAATTTATCCAATTTGGGAAAAATTAGATGCCCATGTTGAGCATACTTCTGACGTTTTATGCAACAATTGTTTTTAGTGACAGCTTTTATTTATCGGTAATTGTTTTGCTACATTACGCATTCTCTGGTTTGAGTTAATTCGTCTTTTCAAACTTTGTCTATTTCAGTCTCATTTATGAGACCTTTGGTCAATAATTTCAAAATTTGGTATAAAAGTTCTTTTATTAAAATTAATAAACTTTGGGCTGTCATTTTTGCCTTTCTAGAAATTGTTTTTGGTAATACGTTTAATTTTCATTTAAAGAGGTGTGGTTGATGAGATGTCAGTGTTAGCGTATGCATGTATTCCATATTGCAGATATGATTGAATAAAAGTTTTGTACGCTATGATCATTTGTTTTGAGGTTAACTCTATGCATATTTGATAAAAGATTTCACAGAACTTTTTTGATTTTTTGATGAGGCTATAAAATTTTCCATTCAAATCCAGGTTTACGCCCAAGTTTTGCGAGTATTGAAATTCTTCTATTATTTGTGTCCCAGTAGTTTTAGATGCTTATTATATTGACATGGTTTTTTAAATTTTTCCTTTGTTTTCAGTGCTGTATCAACTGCAAAAAAACCAATCTGTTTTTGGATTGATCAATGACCGGTAGATCATTGAGATGATATATGAATCGAAAGGAACCAGAATTGAACCTTGTGGCAACAAGTTTTGTTCTGTTTTTTGTCGATATATTTTAGTTTGCTGTTTGCGATTTTCAAGGTATGACCTAAAAGTTGACGAACTGGCATTCTAGAGCAAAAACACTTGAGCTTAATCAGAATTATTGAATGATCTACTGTATCAAATGCTTTCTAGAAATCCAGGAAAGTTAGTTGGGTTGGTGTGTGTTGGTTGCGATGTGTTCATTTAGGGTCAGAACTGCGTCGACAATTGATCGTTTGTTACAACGTCCAAATTTTTTAATAAAAAAAACAAAAATTCTCATTGAATTTTCTCACACGATTACATATTAACCTCTCAAAAATATTGCTATTATTGTAAGAAGTGATCTTGACCGAAAAAATTTAGGGTTTTATTCATCTCCATCTTTATTTATTTCCTCTAATTTGGCTACTTGAATGGCTTCACAATCTAGTTTCTCTAGATGTTTCAACAAAACTCAATTTATAATAAAGCAATCAGTGCTGTATTTGTACATTCCATGGCTTTCACGAAAGCTTTTCGATATATTGTTCGAAAAAAAAAACAAGGACTGATGCTTTCGGGGTGATGCTGTTTTTGGTTTTCAGGAATCAGGTTTTCTAATTTACTGCCGATTGATGCATGTTACCCGTTAAATTGTTCGTCATTTTCATGCGAAACTTACACTTACGGAGATTCTGGATTTTCAAGATTGTTAGTTTCTTGTTTTACCCAGCGGAAATCACTGGAGAGAAACTAATCATCTGTCTCAGATTTTAATTTGGTCCGAACTTCAGAAATTACAGCGACAAGGTTCATTTTAACTTGGAAAAGACAAGGCGCGAACCATCAGGTTTTTTTCAGTAACTCTACGAAAATTTTTGTCTTACTGTTAGTGTTATAAACTATCCTGAAGCGAAGCCGAATCGACATATTTCCAAAAAATTATATAAGATGAAAGTTCCTCGCCAAACAGATGTGAGGGAGAAAACAGTATATTTGGAATTTTAAAACAATCTAATCTCGATCTGAACTAGTATTTGGATTCTATTCAGAGTTCGCGTTACCTAATTATGCGATTTGCGTGAAACAATTTGTCATCAAAAGTTGTTTTTACTATATGTTTTCTACTTGAAAACCAAGCCAAATGATCATTTACAGTTACGCAAAAATCAAGTCCAAAGTAAAATTGTAGTCAGTTTCGCTTCCAGACGCTATCATCAATGCATTGGATTAGAAAGTCTCTTCAACTTTTTTGACTCCTTGTTTTTGTTGGCTAGAGAGACTTTCTCCAGAAGCAGCTCATTACTCGCTTTAACTCTTTTTTTTTGCTTAACCGCATCTAGTTTCTTCAGTTGCTTAAAGTTTCGTATGTTAACAAACTATGTACTGTTATGCCCGGAAGGATTGTTTACCATGACTTGTACCCCACAGTTAAGAGAACTTGTGATCATATCTAAGTCCTGTGCTGCCTTTTGAATTTCCATTTCACTCTCGGGCATGCAACCGTTCAAGTGAATGAACCTGTTTTACGCTGTTTCGCACCGTTTTGACTACCTTTCTGGCTTGATAGATAATACTTTTATCTTGGAAAAACATGAAGTTAAAGATTATTGAAGGAGTGTTTTCATCGTAAGCCCACTGCTAATAATGACAAGCTTTTGTTCGTCGGTACTCCAAACCCATATGCAGATGTTCGTAAGAAAATTTCAACGTATGCTGAATGACGTCTTGCATCTTGCGAGCATCAAAAAGGTGCTTCCAAAGAAATGTGCCGTCCTTCGATGTGAACCGATCCTGCGCCCGTACACTATACAAAAAAAACTTTCCCATTTTTTTTTCATTTCATCATTTTTTCCTTGCTCGTTTAGTAAAAACTTAAGCTCAATTATATCCGAAATTAAACACTTTCACATTTGCATTTGTGTTGATATCAGTACAGACAAATGTCAATGTATCAGTCTCCATGTTGTTAGCAAACTCTTCAAAAACTCGATAAAAACCAAATAATTAATTATTCTCAAAGTAATCTTTCTTTTTAAATTTTAATTAAAATTCTCGAAAAAATTGGGCTCATAATTACATCTTATGGGCTCTAAACTTTTTAAAAATCTTATCAATTTGTAATTGATTTACGAACTCAAACGAGTTTGAACGAAAAAGTTTTTGAACTTCTTTAATTTGAAGTTGAAATTTTGAATGACCCAAAACGAAGCTAAAGTTTTCAAAACATGCGAAGGCCAAACCCACTGATTGCTGGACTGAATTTTGTTTTTTTTTCTATTTCTCGCAATTTTCACGCTTTTTCTCCCAATTTAAGTTAGCATCAAAGCACTGACAGATAAAGTTCAGTTTTTCAACATAAATTTTTTGAATTACTATAGTACTTTAAAAAAACGTGAGAGGAAAAACTGAATTCAACTATAACTGAAAATCAACGGAATATTACCTGGATGTTGAGTAAGTGGTAAGATCTTTGTGTCTCCTCAAGAAAAACGGGCTCGCGTATCAAGGTGATTGCACGTCAGGCAACCTAAAGTAAAATCGTTTGGTAAACATAACTTACCCGATAATTTTTAAAGTAAGATTTTTTAATGTAGATTATTGTTCAATTGACGCAATATGCTTTGTTTAAGACAATTAAATTTTTTTGAGCATCAAAATTTTGGCAATACGAATTAGCGGGAAACACTTATTGTTGCGCTTCTTACCACTTCTTAGCCGATTGTTTGCAGCCAGCGGATAAGCTCTTCGGTCTGGTCAAAAGTGCGTGAATCTGATATTTGAAAGCTTTCTAATGGCTATGGTTCTTCATTGTACATTTTTGTTTGTAATAAATAAAAATGTCTGAGAAGCTGAAAATTAATGTTCTTGGCAGAAATGTTCTTGGCGAAAATCGCTTGAAATGTTTAAATTGCCAGGTCATTGACAAAATAAAACCTGAATCGAGATGAAAAACTAAATATTCTAACTGACGAAAAGCTCAACGAAATTTAAAAAGTCCACAGGCAAGCGATGTCAGGTAACAAAGTATATTTCTTGCAACTAAATGTGAAACAGAGGGGTTAAATTGTTCGCCTCAATTCAATTTGGATCAATTTTGTGTGCTATGATAGTGCATTTTGATCAAGTCACCGCGCTTGAGTGAAATGATAGTGCATACGTAATTAGCTTAATATTTCGATCTTGGAGTTTTCTCTCAAAATACAACCTTAACTCAAAAACAATTTCCACGATTTTTTTTCATCCCCTGAGCAAATGCCACAAGTCCAGTAAAAAGAAAAAATACTGTTTCGATAAGGTCAAATGTCTGTAGTTCTACTTTTTTTCATTCCATCCAATGATTCTTGTCACTCTTTACCCCCTACTTTTTTAACAAAGCAAGATTTTAGGAGACTTCTGGAATCCGCAAAAAAGTTGCGAATCACCAGACTCCAGAACAAATCATTAAGGTTGCGTTTAATTTATAAATTGATGGCAAACAAAAGACGCACCAAATGTAAAATTGTTAACTATTATCGATATGATTGATTTTTGCTGATTGTTTCACCCTTTTTGCCGTGGCAAGACTTTCGTTTCAGCAACTTCATTTGGACTCCGCAGACTTTGTAGCTTGAGCTGCACTAAGATTTAACTGTTCGTCTCTGGGAGCCACCAAGTAAAAAAAGAATAAAAACAACCTTGTGGAATTTTCAGACATGTTTCTTTGAGGATTCTTCATTATGATATCAAATTCTGCTTGCTATCAAATTGATCTGTTTTAGAAACATGGTACAGTACCCGCGCAATCGCAGACCGAGGTAATTGGCTCATTTTATGTTCAAGAAAAAAACTTTTTTGCAGGAATTGGTTGCTTGGCAAAATCATATAACTTTTTGGTAATGGTTGCAAAAATTGTTCTGATTATTTTTCCCAGATTCTTGGGCAAAGGCCTACCACTGGATTAATAAAACTTATTTTTTTTAGGTCGACCAAATTGATTAGCTGAATTCTCCCGAATCACTTTAAAGGCCGTTTTTTGACAAAATTTTCTGTGACTTATGCAAATTTTTCAGAAAACAGGCCGGAAAGACGTTTCTAGGCATTTTTGGAAAATTTTGTCAATAAAATCGCGTTTTTTCGGCGCGCGCTCCCCCCTCACAATTGTTAAGTTTTGGGGTCAGTCAGCCAAAAATGGATATCTCAAATAACCACAAAAGGGGGACACTCCCATTGGGTCGGCAGGGGGTCGAATTCGCTGGAATATCAACTTTAGTGGAAAAATATCAGAACATTTTTTCTTGGTTTTGATAAAAATAATTTTTAAGATCAAGTTGTCGTCCTTCTCCTCAAATATATCACCTTAGAGGATGCAACCCAGCGTTTAGCTTAGGTTAAATACATCACACCGGGCTTATATTGCCTGTTTTTGAGGGCTAAAAATTCAAACTCCGGCTGAATACAAACTGACAATTTTTTTTGTTTTTTTTTGGGGGGGGGGGGGGGTGTTAACTTTGTTTCTTGTTTGAAATTTCTTCAGAATCAAAAAATAGCTCTGCAGGGTTTTTTGATAAGATTTCACAAACGAATGAATACGAGTTTGGTTTGCAAAATGCATGGCAAACTACTTGAAATAGATGGCTGGTTGACGTATCATAGTTGACAAATCTAGTATCATAGTTGAGTTAGTTGCAAAATAAAATCGTTTTGAATCCAAAATTTGCTTAACGGTCGGACAATCAACCTGCACAGCAACCGCCACTCGCTTATCTAAATTTACCCTTAGTACCCTTGATTGGAATTTTAATTTTAAACTTGGTTATAGGAACAATGGGACTACTGGGTGGAAATGACTGGCCTCAATGATGATGACGGGTAGGTAATCATTTTTTTTTAAATTTTCGTCCGCAATTATACCCGCACTGTTAAAAAAGTTCCTTGATTAATTGAAATAGATTTTAAATTGATACAATCCAAATTGATTTACAATGTAGATTTACAAACTGAAACAAATATTGAATCGATTCAATTTAAATTGATTTTTTTCTGAAAATTATGGGTTTTTTTCCGCTTTCCCTCCTTCGCTTGAAATTTACGTTGACAGAATGCATCGAAATTTTGCCATCTTCAATTGATTTCAAAGACAATTTCAATCGATTTAGATGGACTTTCCAACTCACTCAAATCTATCCAAAAATCCAAAACTTACTTAAATCCATCCAAAAGTTACTAATATCCATTTAAATCCATTTTCGAAGACCAATCAATTTAAGTCGTTTTTTTTTGCTAAAGTTGTGAAAAAAGGTTATTTAAAAACTAATAATCAAAAAGTTTAGCCTTTTTATAGTTTCTAAACCCCTCGTAAAACAACAAAAAAGTGCTGTTCGAATCTTGTTCACATGGCATGTTATAAATGTTGTAAAAACTTGTTCATCTGGTCACGCTGACACCTTTTACCGCAATTCATAACATGGAAAATTGTTTTAAATTGACTTTTGTGTATTTATTTTCAGGAAAATATCAAAAAAAAAAACAAAAAAATCAGAACAAAAGTCAATAAAAATCAGAGAAACTCAACAATGTGAACCGAATTTTTGGCAACATTTTATATACCAAATCAAAAAAATGCTCAGTATAAATCCGATTTTGAGCTCAAAAACACGAATTGAAATCATAGAAAATCATCAATAAGAACCAGATTCTGGGCAAAATTTTATGTAACAAATCAGCCGACGGTTCACTAAAAAAAACAGATTTTGAGCTCAAAAATATGCAAAGAAATTATAGAAATTCATCAGTTTGAATCAGTTATTGGGCAAAATCTACGTGAAAAGTTCACGGGAGTTTTTCCTCACCGACTATCTTTTATGTGTGAAAACTTTGATCAGATATCCGGATTGTTAACAAAACTGGCATATCAAAATATGAAACCAAGAAAAACACATTTAGTTTTGTTATTCAACTTTTAAAATGTTTACACCGTAAAACCGCTCTTTTTCACTTTCCCTCCATATTTAAATATATTTTTAACATTGAAAATTTGGAAAAATTTAACATGGCAAATATTTTTTGACATTGAAAATTTGGAGAGAAAGGATCATGGTGAACTAGCTTACTTATTTGAATAAATTTTTTCTTCTTATTTTTCTTCATAGCATCAGACATTTAGGCATGAAATCACATAAAACAACTATAAAAATAAACAATTGGAAATATGGATTGTGAAGTGGATAAGAGCAAAAGAACTTTTTGATCATGTGAGATGGGGAGACGAGTAAAAAATTGAATGAAAAAATAGGCCGTTTTTTTTCAGTTTTTGACCGCAAAAGTGTTCAGTAAACTCAAAGAAAACCATCAGGTTGAACAGATTTTGAGATAAATTTAAATAACAAAATAAAAAAATGGTCGATTTCAATCAAATTTTGAGCTCAAAATAATGCGATAAGTTACATAAAATTGTCAATGTAAATCACATATCGCCAAAAAAGTAGGTGATAGAATCAAGCTTATGAAATGATCAATATCAAAAAGATTTTGAGCGCAAAACATGCATTGAAAAAACAGACGTTTTCTTTAACAAAGTTTGGGACTAATAACTTTCTTTTTTCTTTTTGTAATTATTTTCGCTCCTTGACTTCAACATCGGCAGTGACCTAAGTCGCAATGAAATTTTCAATGTATGGTCAGCTGAAAGTTGAAAAAGAGCAAGGATCGCAACGAAACCTTAGAAAAATCATAGTTTTTAAAAATTGAATTTCAAAGTGAACAAAACATGGTATTAACCCTCAAAAAAATTCAATTTGTGAAAAAAGTCGAAAAACTGAACCATTGAATTTTCATTTTCGTAGATAGATATTTTTTCATAGTTTATTTCGCCATTTCTACGTTCGTATTTGGAGAGTGGATTTTACCTAACTTTCAGCAGATGAATATATAATCAACTCAACAAGTGCATATATAAATTTGAGTGCACAATGAAATGTATGTAAGCACATCTGTCCGACCAAGGCTGTTATTGGAAAAAAAAAAATTTAAATCAAATCTTTTTCCACAAATTTTTCCAAAATCATGGAAGTTTTTGCTGATTTTAAGCTCCAAATACTTTTTAGAAAAACTGCGATGAGAAAAAAATTGAGAGACTGATAATCAGTTTGCTCAAAAAACGGAGTAATTTTTTGAGCTACCTTTTTTATCCGAACTACGACTTGAGGGCTTTTCTATGATTCTGAAAAAAAAACATCTTCGAAAATAGAAACTGATTATGTTTTTTGCTCCAATTCCATGTTCGTAATTGTTGAGCGCAATTTACGAAATTTAAGCAGATGAATTTGAGCTCACCTCAAAAAGTGCATGCACTTCTGTTCTTTTTAAAAAATTTTGAGACTTTTTCCTGAAAAGCAAAACAGGCAAGACAACCACCAATACCTATATAAGAGTCTTCATCGCGGTCATTACTCTCAATCACATCAAATTGAAAAACACTACGCAAGAGAAAACAATATGCGAGTAAATGCGAAGCTCATGGGAGTAACGAACAAAAAACCGCAATCTGAAAATCTAAATAAGAAAACAACCTCTTGGGGTGAGCAAGCAACAGAATGACGAACCTTAGCAAGCCTGGCCAAAACACACCTAAAGGCGTCAATAGGAAAACACATCATATTAAAGACCACAACACAAGACATGCTGTACGGGAGCAAAAGCACAGGGTGCCGAAACCCTCTGCAAAATACCATGTGCTGCGCAACAAACGAGCTTTCTTCGTATTAGAAACTAAGCTGTCGCACCAGACACACCTCTTAGATAGTCAGCTAAGCGAGAAGGACGACTTCAACTGCCTAAAACACATGCGAAAAAACACAGTGGCCTAAAATACAATACAAAAAAGTCATTTCAAACTCAGCAAAAAAAAACACAACACACACCCCACCGTACACAAGCAGATGCGCAGATGTCAAACCCAACAACTAGACAAAGCTCCAATAACGCAACGAACAGTTAACTTTAATCTCAAAGACCAAACTAAACAAAGAAGCCCCTCGGTCTGAACAAGAAAAGTTAAAAGGAGCCCAAGCAAGGCTCGCTCGTATTAGTGAAAAACTGTGAGCCTTCTGACTATTCTAAATATTTTCGAGATATCATACTTTCCAAATCGAAATATTTACCGAATCGAGATACCATACTTTTACAGAGTTTCATAACGCTCCGCCAGCATCTAAATGCTGATCCAGACCCAATACGCACAGTCGCGCCGTGAGTTTTATTCCGGAATGTCTCGACATAATAAAGTAGCATAAAGTTTAGAAAATTGTAAGAACCTGAACGTAGGTCCTTAAAAGTTGAAAAGACGGACATGAAAATACGGACATGAAGTCCGAACAGTCTGTTTATAAAGTCACGAAGGTCCGGAAAAAGAACCAGATTTTGGTGACTTTGTGTTCACAAGTTTCCAGGCTTTTTGCTACTGTATTTTGATACATTCCGGGCTAAAACAATTGACGAGATTATGCAATTTGGTTCTGAATCTGACGCGACGTGACTGTCAAACTCTTGGCGCGACGACTTTTTATATGACAAATCAAACAAGTATCAAAATCTTTCATCTTCAAAAATAATAGTTCGATTTTGAATTTCTCGTCCCATATTTATTATAAGTTATTAGTAAAACACTTCTTGTGTATATGCGTACAAAATCACATTAAACATTTGGATCGATTATGGTATTTCGAAAACTTCACAATTTTGAGAAACATAAATCTTCAAATTGTAACACTCGAAACTTGTTTGACATAGTAAAAAATTTCTATAAAACAACTTATACAAAAATTTTTTCTCCCCTCAATCCCATCTAATCTTTTGAACCACCTCAGATAAGCATCGGTTTTACAGGGTAACGAGTATTTTTATAACTAATCATGAAGACCAATGTGTTTAAATGGCTCCATTAGTCAATATGCCATTTTTAATAACGGAGGAAGAACTCAAAATGAAGAAGTAAAAAATAACAGAAGGGGGAGAGAAACAGTCAATTTAAAATGTGGTCTTTTTGTTATCAGGGCAATGCGGGCACGTTTTCTGGACAAGTCTCAAAAACTTTTGAATGGTTCGGACCAGGAAGTTGCCGAGTGCATGAAATGCAGCCAGCCACCTTCGGACATTATATTCATATTCGATGACAGCGGAAGTATCGGATCGGAGTAAGTTAATTTCTCGAGTTAATTTTTATGCCATGCATGTAATGCGAACGAAACAGTCTTAGTCGTTTTGTTCCGACTTCCGAAGAAAACGACAAAGTATTTGTGCTCGGGATTGTTTTTATTCTCCAGCCAAACTTCAACTTTTTACTAGCCTTTTTTGACGGTTTTTTTCATATCATTCGAAAAGTATTGTTGTCCTGAGCTCAAATTTTAAAAAATATTTCACCTGTGACCATTTTTTGTAAAGTTATGAGGAGGGGGGGTTAGATATTGCCAATTCGGCTAATTTGAGACAATGAACGCACGTATCTATCACGCTATAAACGTACGAGCGTAGATTCAATCCCTCTTAGAAATTTTTTAAAATTGGACTGAGGCATGCTAAATGAAACAATAAGCAAAACCTTTTTTCAAATTTATCTATTTTTTGAAAAGTTCATCAAATTTTTTTTAAATAGTTTGTTCTACATTAATTGTTTCCAAACGGGAGAACACCATTACGCCGCTAAGCACGTCTCAGGTGTCTCCTTTTTTTGTTTTCTCAAATAATCTTATCTACCCATAACAAAAGCAGATTCTACATATTTATCAAACAAAAATCTCAGAAACTGCCCATAATATTGTATTTTCAAGTATTAAAAAAAAACGAGTAAAAAAATTCAATTGAATCGAAGAAGCCCCTTTCAAAAAACTGACCCAGGTCAGAAAATAATTTAAATCAACTTGAAACGTTTTCTAATTCAAGATCTGATTGACCCCCCTCAGTTTAATTCTATTTATAGCTCACATTTTATTTGATATTCTTTTGTAGATATCAGTTTTAACTCTTGTTCAGTTATTACATATCTCAATGGATCAACTTGACAGTCTTTTCAAATAATTTTCCAATGAAAAATTTGTATGCAAAACAATCTCATAAGACATACGTTTTTTTAAGTTTATTTTCATGCCCTTATTCAGTGATTGAATCCAACCTGAGCTGATAAAAAGAGTTTTTATTAGCCTGCTGATTTTACTTTCCAGTTCGATCAGTTTGGTTTTGTCGTTACGGTCAAATTGTTCACAAACCAATCGTCTATCAAATATATCATAACAAAGAGTAAAGGTTTACATTAAGAGCTAACAGAGGATCAGTAGGCAAGAACTGATCGAGAGGCACGGAATGCTACGGCCATTACAGCATGATAGGAGACGGAAAACCGACAACCGGAGGATGAGCATCGAATAATTAAAGGATCGATCCGAGGAGACGCGGATAAACGGTTGAAATCAAAATTGTTTTTGTCCTTGGGAAAACATCGACGAAGATATTTCGATCAGAAACATCCCTAACGCAAAATTTTGGACATGACTTTGATCGAATTGTGGAAAACGTCGACTGATACGTTTCAGAAAGAACCGAACATCACAAATAAAAAAATATTTTCTTCGGCCAAAAGCAACGTGATAATGGGGGCCTTGGAACAGTTCTTTGGCGCGTTGAGTGACCTTAATCGTGGTTCTGATTTCGAGGATCGAGAAGTATCGATTGTTTGTGACATTTTTATCTTCAATAAGAAAAAATGAAAGAGTCAAAAAACAATTATGTATGGAAGCAATGAGCCCAAAGGCACTTACTCTCGCAGTTGTGAGGGAGGGGGTGAACTCATGTACAAAAGGTCAGTAGAGAAACACCAAGATTTGGGAAAAACAAATTTAAGGGTAATCGCTCAAATAATACAGGGCCAAGTAACGCGGGTCAAAGTGAAGTTATGTGAAACTTGAACCAATCAATGCGGTTAATAATCAAGTGTTAGACAAATGCCACAATTGCGGGAAACCGTTGAAACCCAACCATAGGGATCATTGCAAATCAAAGAAAATTGTCTGCCAGAATTATAGTTGTCGAGGACATTTTGCAAGGTTTTGCAAGAACTTGTCTGTTAATCAAATTGATGATGCAGACGGCTTAAAACAAATTGAGACAAAAGTTATTACAAAGTTGGAAGAGCAGGATGACGAAGAATTTGTGGTTTTCGTTATCAAGACGATTTTGAACAAGAGCGCAAAACAAACAGAAAAACGCAAAGGATCGAATGTAAAGGATCGTTAAAAATTGCGAGGTTAGAACACATTTTCGTGAGCCACTTCAACCAATTCGGGTTGAAGGGAAAAGACTGCAAATACACGTAATGCCACATGTGAAAAAATCATCCAGGGGTTACTTCGAGATGGGCATTTTGTGAGACTAGGCAAGTGCCCCAAAGATTGTTTTTTATCTTACCTACGGTTTTGAAGGCAAAAAAGACAATCGGTCAAGTTGGCTCTGAATTCCAAGTTAATTTAAAATCAAATTTCTCGTAATCGGTACCAGATGCCTAACATGAACGAGCTTGTGGATCATGTAGCATAACCCATCAGTGGTAATACTACAGACCCGATATGGTTTTCTCACATAGATCTAAAGTACGTGTATTCGCAAATGCCATTGAGTGAAAAAAACTAGTCGGCAATGCAATTTCAGCATCGTTGGGGCATAGATTCAAAACCGGATTCTACGGCCTAAATGATATGCCTAATGAATTCCACAGGGTGATGGTGGGTCGTTTGCCAGGGTTCATGCTATTTGGATGACATCCTGATAGCAACAAGGGGGTTGGCGGAACGCCACGGGAGGGAGGTGAGGTATCTGCTCCAAATTTCGAATGAAAATAACGCGGCAGTAAAACGGAGTAAATACACATTGTTTGCGAAAGAAATCGAATGGTTGGGGTCTTAAAATGTCAAATACCAGTACGGTACCGGTTGAAATAAAAGCGGAATTGATACTAAAATTGAAACGACCTGAAAAACATATCGGACACAAGGTCGTTGATTGGTTCAATGAATCAATTTATATAGTTTATCCCGAACATGGTGGCTACAACGGAGCCGTTTTGTGCTCTCATAAAAAACATACCAGATTTGAATGGAATAAAAACATGAATTTGCATTTGATGCAATGAAACAAAAAGGGGGGAGCGAACAGAAACGCGGGTTAAATGTGACACATCAAGGAAAAGACTAGGGGCTGCCCTGGAACAATTCCATCCTGACAGGTGGAAGCACATTTCCATCTCATCCACGTTTTTAAATGAAGCACAGCTTCAAATATAGTATCATTCAGCTGGAATTGTTAGCGGTTGTGCGGGCAGTGATTCACTACCAGAGCTATTTGTTAGGGTCACCCTTCAAAATAATCACTGATCATAAAGCGCTATTATCTTGTCTGTCGGAAGAGAACAACTTGAAAACAACTGAAACGAGATTCGTCCTTTAGGTTGAGATTACTTCCGTTCAATTAAGAAATATTGCATATCCTATCTCGGGTAAAAACATGGGATTGGTGGATTAAATCTCCCACCATCCAATAGTGCAAGCCGCAATTGGTTCAGAACGAGATAACACTTCGGTCTTTGCATAATTTAATGCAATTAATCGGCTAATTGCACCGGCGGTAAAAGAATGCGGCATAGCTAGTTTACTGGCAAATGACGTCATGAACAAAACCGAATCTGAACGGATATTACTTACGTAATCAGAAAGAATGCGCTGCAAAAAAACCCACTGACGCCTCCAAAATGTCACTTGACAGGAGTTTGTTTTAATAATCATTACAGAACAGAGAACTGCAACAATTGCCAATTGATTAATCCGTTGGAGATAGCAGATAATTCAAAATTCGCAAAAGTTGATAACCCGATGTCGGACAACAGGAAGATTCCTTCAATAACTAGTCACGAAATCTTTGGGACAGCCCAAGGCTGACTTTATTGTTATTCCAGCGGAAAAGTTTCCCTTAATCTTGTTCGATTGGCCGGAGTTCTTTGATTCTGAGTTCGTTTTCATTCTGACTGAAGTGGATGAAGTTTTAAAATGCTTTATCGATGCTCTTGAGGAGAAAAATTATACCGCGATCCGAAATCTTGGCACTTAGTTCGGCCGTTATGCCACGAAGTTTCATGCTCCTTACACGATATTATTCATGGAGGACAAAATATGGATCCCAGCGCAGTTGAGAGCTCCCGTTATGGCTCGGTTACATCGATGCCACGCAGGCCTCTTCACGATGCGAGACATCGCAAAAAGTTACTGTGAGGAATGCATTAATTCTTGTAAGAATAGAAAATCTGTACTTCCTGGTATCGAGGTTGCGTCTATGGGCTTAATGGAAGTGCCGAATCCAGAGTTTCAAGTAGATTTCTTGAGGCCCTTGCAATCCGCCTGGGTGCAAACAAATAAATACTGATTTGCGTTGATCGGTTCTCGGAATTTCATACGGTTCAAATAACAACGCGTACTACTGCGGGAGTTATAAAGGAGTTCTTGGAAAACTTTATAACTCTTCACGCTATAGAGCGGGTAATCCAAACTGATCAAGGATCGAAATTTGTGGCTCAATCGATTCGTGAATTCTGCAGGCACCAAAATTTACATTTGTTTTTTTTTGCCGTTAGGAATGCACCGGGCAACCGGCCTGTTCGAACGGTGTGTACGTAATTTTCGTGATCGGCTGATGGCTTATTCTTTTCAGAAACCAAAGCCGGGACTAAAAGTCGCATTAAAGGAATATTATACAATAGTTGAAGTATAATACATCAATCTTTGGGATGTACACCGTTTGAAGCACATGTTGTTCGCAAACCAAATAAGATTTCTAATTTGATCACCCGTTCGGCTTCGTCTGAAATCCTGAATTGGAACAATGTGTTGTTTTTTCTAGATCGCAACTAGAAAAACTTGACGACGTATCTAACGTGAGAACATTTGACCGCATTGGTTTCGGGAATGACGGTTCCGAAGCTGTCGGAAGAAACATCGAGTGCTCCCGTGCCTTAATCTTGGAAAAATGTTACAAAATGTTTCGAAAAATCAAAGATCGGTTGAAATCGGATCCGTATTATAAACCGCTAAATGAACGCGTAATTCGCAAAATTACTCATACAGCCAACTTGTTTTCCGTGAGACTTTTTCATAAGTCT